TTAATTAAATTTTCTTCCTTTCAAAATATTTAGTGGTTTTATCCTTTTTAAGGACAGAAAATTTTATCCTTCTATTACACTGTCACTCACCCTTTGATATTATGTATGCTCAATAGACTAGGCTAGACTGCAAGGCTGCCTTAGCCTCTTCCCAAATTGAGGAATTCCTTTTCACTTGGCTTGGTCCCTGCCTCCAAGGAACATCTGCAGGAATAGGGTTAGGTCCAGATAAATTTCAGTCACTTTTTTTTCAGGCCTGCCTGAGACATGAATGGTAGCCCTTTGAGCTAATTCTGACCATTCCTTCTCTGGCTGACCTGAATCATAATCTGCTAACTTTTAAATGACTGGGGTAAGGAAGCATGAATATAATGGGTGGAGTCACTTCAGCCCTGAGGTTTGCAAATCTAAGGTCCGTTCCAGGCAAAAGTAAGGACAATCTCTCCCCTACTCTCCTTTCCATCTTCATGTTGAAATAATGTCTTTTACTTGTTGTAGATTCTCTGCACTAAGTGGGGAATATAGCTTTATGTTGCAAAATATAAGGCTTTTGCTCATTTTCTGCATCATTTCAGAATAGAGAAGCTCTTAGAGTAGTAGTCTTGAGTAAATGCCCAAAGGATTAGAGTTGTCCAGTGTGGGTTAAGGCTGTTACTTTGTTGGACTTCTGGCTTTCTTGTCCTAAGGATTCAACTACATTTCCATTACATTTGGTGTGTAATTGCTCTTTTGTTTTGTTTTGTTTGTTTGTTTTTGTGAAAGAGAGTAGGAACTGGATAAAGTTCATGATTCCATGATCTTTTTTGGTTATGTGACTCAGAAATAGTTTGCTCAGTTACACAATGCAAATATCTAACTCCTCCAAAATATTTTATTTAAATAAATTATGTAATGTTGTATCATTTTAAGGATCATGAAACCAGCAAGATAGAAGACTAGACATTTTTTCCCCAATCTTAATGACTTCTCACACTGCTCCAAAATAGGAATTATGTGACCAGAGATGAATCAATTTCAACTTTCTTTGTGGTCTATGACACCAAGAACCCAAATGCAGTAAAATCTTGATGAAACAACAGCAGAGAAAGCTAATTTCTAGATCCTAAAGTATGCTTATTTAGCACCCATTCCCCTACTACGCACAACACTACCAGGAGCAGGATTACATAAGTCATACTATGCTGGTTGCCACAGAACTCAACTCCACATCCTTCACCTTCCTTCGAGTGTTAAAAAGATACATACGGCAGAAATTTGTTTGGCCTGTGATGTCAAGATATTTGGACACATTCTGTTTTCCAGAGCTAAGGCCCAGCAAGCAGGCTGTGCCCTGAGCTTGGCATAACAACAATCCTTTGCACTCACCCTCTGGATGATCTCACCTTCTGGCAAAACATATTGCTTTGACCAGCACCAGGTGTTCTCTGAGGGATTTATGATTTTCATATTAATCAATAATTTCCCAAGGCCCTGCGAGCCAGAAGCAGCTGACATGTTGCAGCAGAAAGTGATAAAGCAAACCTCCTAGCTATAAAAACTCTAGTTATTCCTATACTTGTGTAACCTCTAAGTGAACTGAACCAGATGTTGCACTCCTGTTCTCACCATGCTAACTCTGGTTCTGTACCCTGCTGAACAATCACAAGGCTCAATGACCCTTATGCAATGGTTCTAATGACTTAAGGATTGTTCCCAAGGACTCAAGAACACCTGAATTGTCCCCCAAATGCCTGCACATATGGGCTTGCCATAGGAACTGTTTACTCAAAACTTAAGGATGACTGTGTTGGGTTCTGCCTTTTTGTGGTTTTCAGGCTTATAAGCCCTACTCCTGCCCCACTACATCAAGCCCTTCTCAGGAGCATTTCTGTTTGCAAACCTGCTTTCCTCACTTTGAAATCAATTAAGCCACATTTTCATTCCTGACTCACTGGCTTCTGGCCTGCTTTCTTTGGTTCTGGCCATTCACAGGTTAGAGACAGGTCCAGGATGGACATTTATAATTCTTTTGTCAGTGATAGCACTGTGGCAGTGATATGTGCACTAATAGCTTGGTCAGAGAATAAAGAGAGAAAATGGGGATAGAACATGTATAAGTATGTGTGTGTGTGTGTGCATGTGTGTGTGTGTGTATGCGTGAGAGAGAGAGAGAGAGAGAGAGATGGAGAAACAGAGATTGTGTGACACTCCACTAATTCTGAGGAAAAAATTCGAAGATCCAGCTATGTTATGTTATACAGTTAGTTATGTCCCCCCAGAAGTCACTTGGAGCAGAGACTGAGGCTAGTGAACTATGCATTTCCTCATGAGAGAAGACTGAGCTGCTTTGACATCCAGCCTCAAGGAAAATGGTAAGTGAGCTTTTAAAGCACCGAATCCCTACAGATCATACCTCTTATAAGGTCCCCAATTACAGAGGTGCTCTTTATATAATTTCTCCCTTTTTTCATAGGAGAGACCTTTCTTCAGGAGAAAGAAAATCCAAGTTCCTAGAGGCAACTGACAACAAAAAGAGTGGAAGAGCATTGGCCAGAGAGGGGATTTCAAGGCAAATGGAGGGGCAGGAAATGATTAAGATGTAGAAAGTAAATAATGGCTCTGTCCCCTGAACAATCAAGGACATAGGAAAATTTCCACTATGAAGCAATATCCTTTTATATCACCTGCAGGAAGTATTATTTCAAAAACAAAAAAGGAGGGTAGCATGAGGCAAGGCAATGTTGCAAGGCAATAGAATAAGAAGTTTTTGAAATAAGAAATTCAAAATAAGATACCAAAATGTACCTTAGAAGCTTTAATTCCATAAAGAATACAGAGATTAAAGAAAGACTGAGTATGAGGAAACTTACCAAAATTTCTGGGATGCAGTTAAAGGGAAAAATCATATCCCTACAAATGTACATAAACAAAATAATATCAACCACATAAAAAAAATGTTACAACTCACTAATAAGGGGAAAGCAAATCAAAACAACCCTGAGGTTTTACCTCATAAGCAGGGAACCGGCAAAGTTCCCAATAAGATTGGGGTGAAGAAAGGATGACCATTATCACCATTATTATTCAACATTGTACTAGAAATGTCAGCTATATATATAAGAGAAGAAAATAAAATGGAAGGAATTAGAATAGGCAATAATATTGCTCTTTGCAGATGACATGATGGTATACTTAGAGAATCCTAGACAATCAACTAAAAAAAAACTACTTTAATATAACAATGTAAATGGGAACAACAGCTACCCAAAAAAAAAGTCAAAAGTAAATGATGCAAAATTCGTTAAGAACAAGCTTGGCTTGAAAGAAAAGATTTTAGGAGACACTCCCAACTCACTCTTTTACAGAGATGGGTGATCCAAAAACATGACACTTTGCACATTTTCAGACTTTTTTTGATGAATTGATTAGTTGGGCTGATTTTTTCTTCTTTCTTTTCTTTTTCCTTTTTTGGGGGAAGGCTTAAAATACTGTTTGTTATGTGGGATGGCTCTCTAAGAGTAGGGTTACTGGGAAAACTATGGTGTAAAAAAAAGACTTCAATAAAAACTTATTTTAAGAGAAAAAGTATCATATATACACAAACCACACCACACACACAAATGCCTAAGCCTGAGAGTTTGAATAAGCTAAAATTCTACTTAATAATTCTCCCTTGCTTATCTTATGGAACCTCCAATTATCACCCAAGGGAATAGTAATGTGCTCATCTATGATGCTAAAACTTCACTTTATCTTGCTGATTATTAAAGGTCACTACTACAATTTCAAGTCTTCTAGTCTCAATGTTTTTCATTTGACACATATATCTATTTTCTTCTACAATCAATATCCCATGCATATTTTATAAAACATCCTAGGAAAGCACTGATTCCTTACCCAATCTATAATTTTCTGTTATGTAGAGAATATATAGTTAGGTAAACTAACACAGATCACTGGAATTCCAAAGCAAAGGACTAATATTTGGGCAGTTATTTATATGTTGTTTTTGAGTCATTTCAGTTGTGTCCAACTCTTTGTGACCCCATTTTGGGGTTTTCTTGGCAAAGATACTGAAGTGGTTTGCCATTTCCTTCTACAGCTCATTTTACAGATGAGAAACTGAGGCAAACAGAGTTAAGTGACTTGCCCAGGGTCACACAACTACTAAGTGTCTGAGGCTGGATTTGAATTCAGAAAGTTAAGTGTCTTCCCGGTTCCAAGGCAAGTGCAGTTATTTAAGATATCTAACTTGAACCACAAAATTTACTTAAGTTACTTTAAATTGGTAAAAATTTTGGAAAGGGATGAAAATTAATGTGAAAAGTATTTAAATTTTGAACTAGTGAAAAAGAAGTTTAGTTTGAAGAAATATTTCAATATTTTGCTTTACAAAGTTTTTTTTTAAAAAAAAAACATGATTAATTAAATTTGTGAGAAATTCAACCTAAATCATAACATCAGTATTAATAGAGAGGCTGATTTCTATGAAATAGGTAATTTTTAAATGTTGATTTTTTTTAAAAAAAAGTTACTACCTTACCATTGACCTAAGTGTCTAAGAGAAGTATGTATTAGCTTAGTGAAAGCTTTATATTAGCTTAGTGAAAATCAAAATTTAATGGTTGATTTTGTCTGATTTCACCCATAGTTTCATTGATTACATCAATAAAGATCAAGGATCAAACATCCAACAGTGCTAGTAATCAATCCACCAATGTAAATTGCAAACCTTCTAGGCATTTATTAGTTTTATTGACTTGATTTTCATAACAACAATATAAATGAATTGATTTTAGATTTCAACTACAAAATTATATTTTGTTCAAATTTAGTGTGATGTCAATATTAATGGGGCAATATATTTTTAAATAATTTAGATAATAGAAATATATATGATAATTAAACATTTTAGTTTTTAATCTATCAGTATCACTTTAAGTCTTTGCAATGAATGTTTTATGAACAATTATTTTATATAAGTTACTGAGAAAATGTAAATTATCCAGCTGTATCCTTACCTTACACTCATAGAGAACACAAACTCCAGAAGAGGAATATATTGTTTTTTTCTCTCCTTCAAAATAGGTTCTTCCTTGAAAATGGCATATGGCTTTGGGATTAAAAACAAAAACAAAAACTTCAATAAACAAATATAGCTTAAAGTTGGCCAAGTAAATTTACAATGATGCTTCATATTTATTTACCACTTTTCAAGGATTTGTACTGACTACATTCCTTGCCAACTGCTCCTTAAAATAAGTTACTTAGACACAAGAATTTAGAATACTGAACTTGTAGTCATGGCATCTGTGTTCAAATCTTTACTCTGTCACTTATTACTATGTAACCTTGGGCAAGTCACTACTTTTGCGGGTGTTTCCTTAACTGTAAAATGAGGATCTTGTTAAATGAAGGATTTCCAAGATCTCTACCATCCTTAGTTCTATAGCTATTGATATCTCTCCCTCTTCTCCCATCCCCAGTTGCCAAATCTTGTCAATTATTCATCCACAATATGTTTCCCATATGGCTGTTTATTTCTATTCCCAGTTACACTATCCTAGTCCAAGCTTGCTATTGTTTCTCATAAGGACAATTAACTGTGAACTGCACAAAAGAATTGAGTCATATTTAAAGTTTGCATCTCCGCCTAGCATGTTGCACAGTGCTCTGCATGTAATGGTACTTAACAAGTATTATTGAAGTACAACTTGACTATTGCAATTGACTCTTCTTTTTGGCATTCTATGTCAATTTTATTTTTATTATTATTATTTGGTATAGATCTTAACTGATTTTTAAAAATCCATTTTTTTTTGTTTTCAACATTTACTTTCGTAAGATTTTGAGTTTTAAATTTTCTCCTCCTCCCAATTCTTCCCCCCCTGTCAGATGGCATACAATCTGATATAGGCTCTACATATACATTCATGTTAAGCATGTTGTCCCATTAGTCATGATGTAAAGAACAATTAGAACTAATGGGAGGAACCACAAGAATGAAGCAATAAAACAAAACAACAAAGGAAAAGGAGAGCAAATAGTACACTTCCATCACATTCAGACTCCATATTTCTTTCTCTGGGTGTGCAGCAATTGACTCGAACAATTTTATCCCACTGTTCTTCTAGATTCATCTTTTTTTAATATAGTACAGGCTCAGGGCTCGTTCTCCCAACTCCCACTAACACTGGCAGGCTGGAACACTAGAAGGTTACTAACCATTTTCTTCCTTCAAGTTTTAGAAGTAACTCTGAGGAACAGGAGGTTTTTCTAGTCCTACTACTCATGATGCCTCAACAATGTGCTCTCAGATGACATCAATTAACCAACTAGTCCTAATTAGCTTTTAAAAATGAATATTTACAAAGTAATATAATAAAAGCAGTTGGAAGAACCACCACCCCTTTCCAAACCAAAGGCATCATGGCGCTCAAGCTTAGAGAGCTCATGTGGCAATGAGGTAAATTCTTATCTCTTGACTGATGAAAGTCCTTTGTGGAGAACTCATGAAGTTCACTTTAGATATTATTTTCTTTTGGGCTTCTTGTAAAGTTCTTCACTCTGCACTTCTTCAGCAGGCCTAGTTTATCTTCAGGCACTAATGGGAAGTCCAAATCTTCTGAACTTCTAAAATTCACAAGATCATCTTCTAATGAAGGTGGAGGAAAGGAGACAGAGATTCTGTCATTCACCTTCCCCTTAACAATTCCCTTTCAGGGGCTTTCCTGATGCTATTCTGCCACTCAGCTTAGCCTGCTATTAGAAGAGAGGATTTTGAATTTTTATCCAAGCCATTTCTTTCAATGTCATTTCAATCCTTCCAAATTGATTAAGGACTTTTTCACTCTTAGTTTATACATTTGATAAATCAATAGTCAATAGTTGATAAACATTTATTAAGTGCCTTCTTAATATCCAGACATTGTGCTAAGCACTAGAGATATAAATTCAAAAAAGAAAGTCAGTCTTTGCCCTCAAGGATCTTATAACAAGACAACGCACAAAAGAGATACTGTCATGGAGCATGGTGGAGAAGTAAAAAAATCCAAAATGAGTGCAGCCAGGGTGGGAAAAATGAGATAACTGATCAATACATTCATTCTAGGACTCAATTGTTTATTACAGGTTACTTTGTAACTCAAAGAGGTATTCTCACCTGATAAAGGTATCAGGGCTTAGAAAATCTTGTTAGTTAAATTAATTGAGTAAGGGATAATTGATTGGTTCATTCAACCATTGATAAGATGACCTTCTGTCTTGAAATACAGGTGGACCCTAACTCTTTTCCCTATCCCACGTCTCTAGTGTCCAACTGTCAAAATCCTAACTGTCCTGTAATTTCTAACTTAAAATACCAACTCCTCCTCAAGCCTCCCTCCCCCATTCCCATCTCCCTAGTAACAAAATATGCTTGCTCCCTTCCTTGAGTTTTGTACAGCTATTTGTAATTCTGTATCAGCTGCCTCAAGACATTCCCTTTTTCTCAAAGAACTTGATACTGGCTCAATCTTCACTCAACTCCTGCCCTTATGCTAGGGAACTTAAAAATTCCACTTTAAACTTTAAAATTCAAACATCTTAACTCCTCAGTTCTTCAGTTTCTTAATTTCTTGTGACCCATTGTTATCCACTTCAGCTATGCAGGGGACTGGCACACCCTTCTTATCATGATCTACATGTAATTCCACTAATATGGGATATCTCTTTATCAGACCATAACCTTCTATCATTCCATACATCTCTCCCTGTTTCTTACCCTTGTTTAACCAGCTGAGCCTGGATCAGCAAGACAATCCTTTTATTCCTTTTTAATTGATTCTATACCCTACCCCCCATAGAGGCTAGCCAAAATATTCTCTTCTCAAACATCCCCATACCATCCCTAAATCTTTCCCAATAAACTGAGGACCTTATTTCATACTTTACTGAGAAAATAGAGACCATTTGTTGTAAACTCTCTCTTCACTCCTTTTCCACAATTCAAAACCTCTTGATAATCCCCCCACTATTTCTTCCTTTACTTTGGTCTCCAATAAAGTGGTAGGACTTTCCCTTGTGTGAAACTGCTACATTATTTATTAGTTATTGAAAGGTTAATAGTTAAGAGGTGTAGTTTAGTTTTAGTCACTGGAATCAGTATTTATGAATTGGTTTGATTTAAAAGACAGTTTTGGCTACTTAACATTAGAGTCTGTAAGATAGTTTGTCTTCTTTCTAAGAATTAACTTCCCTATTTTTCTAGGCTACAGCTTGGGCTCTTGCCACAGATTGAAAGAGGGGAAAGATGATTACCTAGAGTCATAGGATATTCTGCCTGGATTTGCCAGAAAATGTTGAGAAACTGTTGTCATGAGTCTTAGAAATCCCCTCCTATAAACCAGACTAAATGTAAGCCCACCTACACCTTTACCAACTGTATAAAATGCTGCTATGTCTGCTCTAATGCATTCCTGGACCCTGAGGGGCTATGAGTTCTCATTTATTGGCCACTGCTAGTCTTGCTCCTTTAAACTATCATCCCATATTTCTGCTCTTTTCCACAGTCTAACTCCTAGGGAAAAAAAAAAACAAAGTTGTCTACAATCATTGAATTCACTTCTTTCATGTCAATACTTTGTAATCTGGCTTCCAATATCATCACCCACCATAAATTCTTCATTCCAAAATTTCCAATGATTTCATATTTAAATGCCAAATCTGATTGTGTTTTATCAACTCTCATCCTTCTCAACTTCCCTGCAACATTCTATACTGCAGACCACTCTTTCCTCTAAGATATATTCTTCTATCATTTAGTTCTCCTTTTACCTATCTGAACACACCTTAGTCTCCTTTGCTGTTTGATAATGCCATGTAACTATGGATGTACACCAAGGCTCCTTCTTAGACTTTTTCGTATTCTCTCTCTCTCTCCATCAATTCCCACAGATTTAATCATCATCTTTTTACAAATAATTCCCAAGTCTTTTCTATAAGATTTGTCTAACACTGAGAGACGGATATTAAAGTTTCCTTCTTTTATCCTTACAAAAGACTGGGCATCAGGTGTTATTATTATCTCCATTTTGTGGTTGAAGAGACTGAGGCAGATAGAGGTTAAGTGACATACCCTGGATAGCACAGCTAATATTATTAAGCATCTATTATGTTCCAGACAGTGTGCTAAGTACTTTGCAAATATTATCTTGTTAGATCCTCACAACAACACTAGGAGATAGATGCTATTATCATCTCCACTTTACAAATGAAGAAACTGAGCCAAAAGGAAAATATGGAATTAAATTACTGGATAAATTAGAGTAAAAGGCTGATGGTGTCTTCTAAATGGAACTGCTAAAGACTATACGTATTTCCACACCACATGGAATTTTTGAAAAAATTGACCATGTAGGAGGACACAGAGATATTGCAAATAAATGTAAAAAAAAAAAGCAGAAATAGCTAACTCTTTACAAACATAATAAAAATTGTAATCAATTCAAGGAACACAAATAAGATACAGATCCAGATGGAAACTTAACAATAAAATCCTAAATAATGAGTGAATCAAAGGCAAACCATAGAAATAAGTAATAATTATGTAAAAGTGGCTGAAATGAATACATAGAGCTATATAGACAATATGTAAAGATACATAAATACATTTATTTTATATAAGTATGCAGATATATTTATATGACTATAATTTATTTAACTATATAAAATTTATTTGTATAACTATTTAGATAGAAATATATTGTATAAATATATATTTTTATAATATATTTAAATGCAAACATATTTATGTAAAATATATAATGATGTATAGACATATAACAGACTCATACATATGTATATATATAAAATTATGTTAATATGTACACTAATATAGAGATGGAGAGTTAACCAAAAACTTTCCCAAATAGATTAGTCAAAGGATATGAATAAACAATTGTAAAAATATAATTTAAATTATTAACCATAGGAAAAAATGCTCAAAATTGTTAATGAGAAATGTAAATCAAAATAATCCTGATTTTACTTCACACCCAGAAAGTTGGCAAAGTAACAAAAGATGAGAATATTCAATATTGGAGGAGTTATGGGAAAATATATGCCTTAGCACAA